GATAGCGGGAGGCGCCGGACCGGGCCGCGCACAGCCCCCGCCGGGCATGGTGCCCCGACGCGCCTTGGGGACCGTGACGGTTACCTCGGCGTAAAGCGTCCGTACACGGCGCCCCTTTAACCCCTGGGTTTCCCCCTCTTCCCGCCCCTCCGTGGTCTTTCCAGTCACACACCTTCTGGAAAGGCGGCCCTGCAGGTAGGCCCCGTGCGAGGCCCAGCGGGTGTCCCTGGACTGGGTCATCTCACGGGCCGACCTGAAGAGCTTCAAAAGTTAAATTGTTTGTGACTTGCCTTAAAAAGCATTGGTTGCGTTTGAAATGGGTTTGAAAGAGCCAAATGCCTCTGAAGAAATGATCCCTGAGAATTCGCAGGCTGGTTCCACATGTGGCCGTAGCGCAAAGCTCGAGATACCTCATTCTGCAGCTTACGCTCCCCATCTAAGGGGAGTGGGCCCCCCTAATGTAAGGAGGGTGATTCTGGACTCGTAGGTCCCAGCCTGCGGTGAGCTCTCTGTGGGTGCAGGAATCGCTGTGGAATGGGTGGTCGTGTGCAATGTAGTATTGGCACGAGGACATTGGCTCAGTCTGCACACCTTTCAATTTTTCTGCTTATTTTTCTTATATAATTAACATTTTTTGAAGCTGCATCCGGGGTGCACATGAGAGCTCCTCAGTTACAACGGAGAGCTTTGTCCTCAGTGTGTGTTGCTTTCTCACACTCTGGTTTAGTTAAGAGTAAGAAAACCAAGTAACATGTACGTGGTGTGAAAAATGTGCCCTGTCTAAAATACAACATACAAAAATGTGCTTCTGAGTAGCACACTAGATGATCGCTAAAAGATGACCATAACCAACTGACATTTAACGTAGATGGACAGTAAGAGGATCTGCTGGAACACTGCATCATCCGTTCTGCATGGAGAGAGTAACCCATTATACCAGTAATTGGTGATAGTAACCCCTCGGGTTGGGCTCCTTCAGTTAGTTTTCAAGGTGGTAGAATTTGGCAAAGAATAATTTCTCTGGTATATTAGTGCCAGTGGGGCCTAATGTGTAAGCGGATGTCTGTCATAACCACGTAGAATTATTCCCAGTTCATGGTGAGACCCCTCTGTAAGCAAGTTTAAGAGACTTCTTAAACAGATCTGCTCCAGTGGAAAAGAGGCCCAGGAGACCATTAATTAAGCCTCTGTTAGGCTGATGTACCAAAATTATATTTTATCATAGGGAAACTTTACATAATTTCTGCAAATTGGCTAAAAAAAAATTGAACACTTCAGCTTCAATATGAAATTGTACTAAAGAACTACATATCTTGGTTACAATGGAGTGTCATGATGAAGATTTAGTAGACTTTCCCTCTATGCAATGAATATATATAATTGGATTACAATAGTATTTTCAGTTACAAAAATATTGTATTTTAAGATGGAGGAGGTCTTTTCATTTCAGCTGCCTCTTTTCAGAGATTCATATTTTTCTCACAAAATTACTGAAGTTGAAAGGCCATGTTTTGGTCTTGGCTCAAAAATGAGGGAGAATTGGTTATCCGGTACTTTGCTAAACTAGTGATCATAGTATAAGCATCGTAACAAATAGTAAAATTATTTAACCAGAACTGTATATATACTGGCATTTAAGCAGGCACATATATTTCTTTTAATTACTGTGATGTTGTGCTGTCCCAGTGATGCTTGATTAAGTATAAAGAAAGCTATTTATTCCTATTAGTCTGAAGGCAACCTTTAGTTTAATAGCGAAATACAGTGTTACCTATCTGCAGAATTAAAGATAATATTTGAATCGGACTTGATGATTTTAACATCCAGGCCGTTGTACAACCCTGGTTCAGCTACGAGTTTGAGCTTTTAAGTGCTAAAGAGCTGCTCTGGAGAACACGTGAACTGAGGCTTCCTTCCTGTTTAAAAATATTAAAAGAACAGGATGTTCATGACTTTCTATCTCTGATCTGATTGAGGCTGCAGCTTCCAGGTTTAGGACCCCTGCTGAAAAGTAATTTTAATTCTTGTTTAGGACTGCTTGCCTGTTGGACGGATTTCATCTTGTTAATTTGTAGTGATAGTAAGACCAAACTGTTAAAAGCAATTTTCAGTGCTCCCACTAAAGGCACTTTGTATAAAAACATGACTTAGAATGTGTATCTTGGGGATAAATTATAGAAGAATATCTTGTAATTTTCATGATAAAGACCATCATTGGAAGCACAGTGCCTGCGTAAAGTTTTGAATATTTCTGTAAGAAGAATATAATGTATGTATCATGGATTACTTGCAAAAGCAATATATGTTAGCTGAAAATACTGCGTTAAATCTATTGCAAGTTAGTACAGGAATTATAAAATGAATATTTAAGTAGGTGGATTCTCATGCTATAGAGACTGCGTTTAAACATAATTGATATACATTTATTCCGACAATTAAATGGGTTGGGATTACTAACTGATAGGAAGTTGACAAGTCAGATCTGTATGATTTGGTAAGACTTGTGTAGACAGTGAATTTACAGTGGGCTGATACGTTCTATAGTTTCTGAGCAATGCAATGAAGATACGTGTAATGGGAGACATTACAGAACCAATTAGACCCAAGAGACATTTGTGGAGTGCAAACACAGGCATGGAGAATCTAAAGGATTCCAGTGTTAGTTGGAAATAGGATTTTTTTTTTTTTCCACTGCACTGACAAACACAGTTTTTTATTTTCCTTTTAGGAAAATTAGGACAAGGAAGTGACTCTCCTGTCACTCATCATGACAACAAACCACAATTAGATTTAGTGCATCTGTTACCGTAACTCATTGGCCAGTGTGTATTATGACATATTCTTAATCTTTATGACTTTATATGGTAGAGCTGTATGATCTATAATTTCCAAATTGTTTTCAAGATCCTGGGTACTTGCAGTTTTTTAACAGTTAAACAACTTGTAGGTGGATTATGGGGAAACCAATCACAGAATCCTAAACTTACATCCTTTTAAATTGTTTTCTCTTCTTTCTATATGAATTACTTCTGAGGCTGGCTGCTTCTGTCTTAAGTCTTTTTCAAGTAATATCTGTGCTATGAAATGAGCAACTTGGCAGTTTTAAAGCTGTTCCTGCAGTCTGGAGAAGAGCAGCGAGGCCAAGTAGGGTCTTGTACACTTCGTGCTGCTGCAGGAGCCACTGGAAATCTGGAACTGCTTGCCTGTGGGCTCCGCAGGTGAGATGCAGTGTCTCCCAGGATACTGCGCTTGTTCCAGCCTACATCCATCTAGAGAAAGCCTGGGTGTGAGACACCCGTGCAGTAGGACTTCATTTTGCACAACAGCTATTTGAGAAAAGTTAACAGAGTATCTGAAGCTTGGTTGGACATGCTCCTTTTTAAAAGGACCTGTCTGAAGCTTCGTTTGCCATATTTCTTTTTAAAAGGTACCTCTTCAGACAGTTGTGATGACACCCACTCTGCCCTGTCCACTGCTTTTTTGTAATAGTGGGTTCCAATAATGTTTTCTCATGTGCTGCTCTCAAGTATAAGGGCTAATTCAGTCATTATCTGGAAGCTTTCAGTGTGATACTTATTGTTCCTCTGGTGTTAGCTGATCATCACTTTTAGTTTTTCTAGTCAATATTTGTCTATGTTCTTATTAATGAATTAAATCTCCACTAGTTTGTGTAGAGTCAAGAATTGTGAAATAAATTAACAGATCTTAAATAGTTTTTTTTAATGGTAATTAAAGTCAAATTATTCACAAAAGAGTTCAAAGAGTGTTGCCTTTGTTGTGGAGTGGGCAGGTCTGTATGTGTCCTGCCTCATTGGTAACAAAATCAGATTATGTCCACAAAAATGCTACTAAATCGTGCTGCTCCTATTGCTGTCTACAGATTTTGTGAGTAGACGCAGTGACCAGGGCACTGTTTGGGAATCGTCTATAGTATCTCTAGCATCTTTGCAGGTCCCCATTTCAGAAGTTATACTTGTAACCTGTCTTCTCAGACTGAAGATTGAGTACCCCTTGCCTCAGGTATTTCTTTCCTCCTTTGAGATTGTGAAATTGTATTTTGTTTTAATCTGAAGCTCCAGTCTCGCAGATGGATAAGCTAGCTTGGAGCTTGCCATCTTGAGGCCCTCAGAGCAGCAACTGCACTAAGACTTCATTTTTTCCTGGTGGGGCATTGGGATGGTGGACTGCGCTGTGCAGTTGCTGGTTCTGTGGTTCCTCTTATCTGTTAGCACAGGCTGCAATTTCACTGCCATGAAAAGGGTGAATCCCTCCACCACTTTTGTACTAACACTTGTGATCAGACTGCTGTGGGGTGAGAGGACTCCAGTAACGCATGCCAAAATGGTCACGTTAAATGCCAGCATGAACGTGACGAGGGAAGTGCAGAGCCAGCGATGGGTGAAATTCGACTGGCCCTTTGAGCCGTGGCCATGCTCGTGGCAGGTTAGAGCAGTTGTGAGCAACAGTCTCAGTCACTTGTTCAGACATTTCATTGATGATCACGTGAGTTGTCCAGGAAGGAGATGACCTTAATTTTGTGAACAACTTTTTAATCCTAGGGGGGTTTTATGTGACTGCTTGTTTCTGCCTTCTAGCAATTTTAGAGTGGCACATCTGTGACACTGCTCAGTGACCTGGGTTGGGATCCAGCTTAAAAACAAACTTTGTTGTTGACTTCTTTGCTTATTTTTAATTCATGGGTTATTTTTCAGCTAGTGTGGTTCCCCAGTGTGGTCAATTGTGCAGCATCACAAATGTCTGCCAGCAGATTGCGGCAGGGTTGGAAGGATAAGACGGTGGAACGGAGTAGCTGGAGACGGGGAGGGAAGATGACTAGTTTATTCAGGACTGCGGCTGAATGTCGAACCACAGCCTGAAGGTATGTCTGTGAGGCAGGTGCCACGGCTCATGTCAGTTTTAAGCTAGTTAACTCAGGTGTTGCTGGCAGCATTGTTGCACCATAGACTACACCAAAGCTTGCAAAACCTGCTTGAGGTGTTTGGTAAGTTAGATCGTGGGAGTTGTATGCTGATGTTGTCTGCTGCTGTCTTGGTACCTGAGCTGGCTTGGGTATGGCATAGCCACATGAATATGTTTACCTGAAGTAAGCTGAAATAGTAAGTTACGAGTTCCTTAGCTTTGTCTCAGGATGAAGTTTCCTAACATGGATACTGACTTCCTACCGGGAAAGATGAGACCTTACTCCAGTTTGTTCCTTCCTTGCACCAGTTCCATTGGTTCAGAGCTAATTAAACTCCCTCACTCAGAGGAATACGTCCTGCTGCCTTTGGGGGTTTTGCTGGGTTTGTGAGTTGAAATGACTCCCAAAGAGGACGGACAAACATCAAAACAGCATAAAGGTGTTGGGAACTCATGGGTGGAAGTAAGGAAGAAGAGTGCTGGCCCATGTGAGCTGACACTGCCTGCCTGGCTGGCCCAGGGGGCGGGCTGCCATGCTTACCTGCGCCTGCGCAGTTATTTGTCTCTGTGACCTATAACCACGGCAGTGGTCACAACATAAAATAGTCTTGAGAGGGCAGAATTTCCCAACTGGCAAAGAATCTCTTCTTTGAGGTGTTTTCTGTCTGGTTTATACTTCATAGATATTTCAAGTAGAATTTTTAAGCTCTCAGAAATAATTTTTTGTCAGAACTTAGTTTTTATTTATTGATAAATATTAGTTGTGTACTACTTTTTCTGCAAAACTGAGAGACCCAGTTGTGTGTGCACAGTTAATATAGAAATAGTAGATCTTCACTTGTTTTCTTGTAGAGAAAGATAAAAATGGTGGTTATATTTTTAAGTAAGATTTTTTTTCCTTTAGAAAGAAATGTTTGCCATGAATCACATTTCTTTCAGTCTCTCTTTTTCTTCAGTATTCTTCCCAAACACATTTCTTCAAAAGGCAAAACTTTCCACCCAAAGGGGGATTTCTGTTAATAATTTGTTGAAATGTAGTGTTTTTGAGTAATATGATTTAATAAATGAATATGAGAGCTTAGAAATGCTTTCTTCCTTTTCCATTAGATCATACAGTGTGCCAACAGACTGAAGAACTTTTAATAGTTTTATTTCATTTTTTGATTGAAAATGGGGCTCTAGGAAAAACAATTGTGCAAATGTTAATTCTGTCTTTCTCCATCAGTGATTGCTGTGTTTTAGGCAAGTACTGTGTAGTTTCCTAGAGGAAAAAATGAAAATTCATTTTAAATGTTTATTTTGCGTGTGGCTTGTTACATCCCTGTTACCAAGAGATGATTAAATATTTGACCACCCATTAGTGCTCTTCTGTAATGTAAAGCCATATTGTGAACTGGTTATTTCATCAGTAAACTTTTAGGGTTTGGGGGTGCGACAGAGAAATCTCATGCATGAGTTGCATGGCAGAGTGGCTCTTGGTACTGCAAACATTTACAGATGGAGGCAGCTCCTGCGCATGTATCAGCTGCAGTAAATGCTTGAATGTACAAGGTTAAGCAGTTAAAACTGCAGAGTTGGAGTCGTCTGAATTAGGTCAGTAGTGGAAATTATCTCGGATTTATCATGAGCCTTGCAAACGTGGATCTGCATTTCAGAAAACCAGCATACACTTCCACTGTAGATCATGGAAGGTTCTGAACAACAGAACCAAGGTTGAGACTGAGATCGTTACGCAGTCCCAAATGGCAGGCACAGTGTCCTGAAGGCAAATCATTGGTTTTAGACTTTATTAGCCCCTTACTTTAATTACCACCTCATTACTTGCTCTGCTTCCACAAAAAGTATTCCATACTGTCATTTTCCCTAAGTAACTGGAAATGTGATTGAAAGGGATGTTTAAAGTGAGACTAATTCAAGATTAAATAGTCACAAATTATATTATTGCTACATGTAAACAAATTACTTGCATATCTGATTTTATTCAGATTACTTTTCAAGTGGTAAATAATGCTTTATCACTTATATAGTGCTCTTACATCTTTAGAGTGCTTTTCTCACATTAATTAATCATCATTAAACACTCTGAGGTGGGTAGGTTAATACTATTATCCCCATTTTGCAGATGAAGAAATGTAGACTGAGAGGTTGTGATTTGCTCAAGGCCATATAGAAGAAACAGAATCAGAGCTGGGATTAGATCTGTGTCCCTAGCTTCTAATTTCAGAAGACCAGCCAGATTGTGAGCCACAGTCTTGAAGCAAAATATACAAGTGTGCATGTAGAAACAGCACACATTTACTTGGCCTCTTAGATACCTAACTTGCAATTTTTAAATGGAAACTTTGCTTTTGTGCCATCCTGCATAGTTCCAGGTTCGTACCCACAAGTGTGGAAATAGCCTCTCATTAATTTCGGAACTCTTCCTAATCAGATGGGGTATTTTTATTTTAATCATTTTAATTGAAATTACGTTTTATATTAAAAATATCAGCCTCTAGTTCTTTAGGCTTGAACATAATTGTGTGACTCGGGTACAGCAGGGTTTAGTATTGGTACCCAAAACTGTGGACAGGTGATGCCAGTACCAGCTCTTATCATTTTTTTAAGATAAGCATCTTACCAGTTGCTTATCATTTTTCAGGAGCTGAGACATAAATGAAATTCTGACTTGGCAGCTTGCCTTACTGCTGTTAGAACACATGAGGGAGAAAATTACCCTCGGTGGGCTAAAACCATCACCTTTGTAGGCAGTGCCTACAAAGTAAGTGCTGCTTACTAGAGAGAAGCATTCGCACGCGTGCATTCCACCTTGGAGAAGTACCTAAATAAAACAAAATAGTCTTGGACTGGAGAAGAGAGTAGAACTCGTTGTATATCACCTTGATAATAAAAAGCACCACAGAGAATTGTATTCAGCTGTTAGCAATGGGAGCCTGTGCAGAAGCAACAGGTAAGGAAAAATGAGGTGGAAGAAAGAGGTGCCCTTGTGAGGACCTGCTGGGAGAGGGTGGGATAATGAGGAACAGGTTAGAGACCCATGGGCGCGTACAGGCGAGAATCAGCTGTGTGCTTCAGCATCCTTCTCACCGTCTTCGTTCCCAAGGAGACACTGTAAGTGATTGTAGTGCCTGGTTGAGGTAGGAGATCCGGCTTCTGTTTCTAGCCCTGTTCCTGACCAGTGCTAACGGTTAAGTTACTCAGGCTGTAAAATCAGTGCAGTGCTTTTCCAAAGTGCTGTACGCTCTAATTCATGGAAAAGTTTTTGAGCTCTTCCGGTGGAAGATCCAGGAGAAGGTGGAGTGTAAACAGACTGGAAAGAAAGTGTTGAAGATAGAAGGAATTTTCTGCCTTCAGACAGCTAAGGAGGTCTTTGGCTGTATGATATGAGTTGTTTGGGGGTGATTTGGAGTCACTAGCCTGCACGCTGCCCTCCATTCAGATTGGCATGATGGAACTGGGGGACACTTGGGAGGTGATCACAGGTCTAAAGCTGATCCTTTGGCTCTGCTGTGACTCTGCTTGTGAAACCGAGAAACAAGACATTCCCTGAAAGCAGCAACGTACTCTTCCCTTTAAATAGCTCAGTGGAGTAGTAATGAGAACAGAATCAACACGTAACCTGCTGCTGTAATGGTTTGGTTTTTAATCCGGAAGGTGAGCACACACAGGGGTGTGCTCTCCCGGGGCTGTCCGGGGTCCACTGCTGGAGCTCCCAGGGATGGCTCTTAAGAAGTACTACATTTTAACAAGTTGCTGTTGGAGGAGAGGAAGGAAACAAGGTATTTGCCCATTTGTTTTTTTGTTTTAAGTGTATGGAATGTGTTTTCCAACAGAGGATCCTGTTTTAATAACCAGACCCATGATTAGGTAATGTTAAGTTTGCTGCAAGAGTAGTTTAATAAATATTTCAGTATGCAGATAATCCATTCACAGGCCTTTTTAAGCCTAAGAAGGGAGAATTCAGAGTTTATTGATACCACTTCCACTACAATGTCTTAAAAGTAATGCATAGTTGGTGGCACTAGGTGTCCAGACAAATTGAACTCAAATGAACAAACAAACAGGTCATTTATTTTATTTACCCTGAAAGGAATTTTCATTCTTTAATTGTAACTCTAGATATAAATTATGTGTGGAAGATAGACTAATGATTTTCCCGTGTTTGATTAAAAGCAAAGAATCAAAGATTTGTTTATATATTTATCTATTTGTTTCTTTGCTGTGATAAAACCCGTTGTTATCCAAACAGTGTGACTGACCTAATAAAGGACATATGCATAATTGATCCCCATCTGTTTTTCAATATTTATTCTCGCTGTATTTTTTTAATAGAGTTTGGTTCCAGAAGTGCAGCCTGAAACTTTTTTAAGGTGGTATATTTTAGCACTTCTGTAAAAAGTCTCATTTTATGCTGGTCACTGAAACGAAAAGGTTTGTTGTTGGTTCCACCCTTTAGTATCCCTTCAAGAGAGATTATATCAAAGAAGAAGAATTAAATTAAAATTGATTGGTGTTATTGATTTTTCTTTTTTTTTTCTTTTTTAAAGGGGATAAAGGGCGATGGAAACAGCATATGCCCCTATGCTGTTTTACTGATGGACTATTTTTTAAAAACATAGGAAGCATATGTGCCCAATTTACATATTTACTAATTAAAAAAGCTTCCTGGAAACATTAAGTAGACTATCTTCTGTAACCTTTAACATTCTAGCTAATGGATATAGCCTGGAAATTTTCATAGAAGGTCCTCTAAATAATGTAAATGATTATGAATGTGTAACTAGTTAATATGCAGCTACGAAAGGATTATCATGTAGAGGTTAATGAACATGCTGCTCTTATGGTTTGCAGGGCTTTTCTTTTTGTGCTTTTAGCTCACTTCATGCAGGGAAAGTCATGTATCGGGAGTGGAAAGCTTCCTGCCTTTTCCGGCTTCATCTGTAATGGGGCAATTAAACTGGAACTTTCTTCAAGGATTTCATAAACATTTTTGTATGCCTAATTATGTTGTGTACTTCACAATCACTACCAAATCTGAAAGAATGAAGGAAGTTGAAAGAACGGGCTCTGACTCTTATACTTGTTAGTGGCGGACTCCATTGTGCGTTAGCGTTGTTACCAAACGGTCTGCGCTGTATGATTTACACCTTTTACAGAAACTTTACTCTTAAAATGACCTTAATGGTATGAATTAGATTTCTGAGTTGATGTCCTGTAGAAGTCTGTATATTTACTCGTAACCTTAAAATAGTTAGCTTGCACATTAAGGAAAATATTTGCTTGGCATTTGATTTAGAGGAGTTTAAAGCAAATGATAAATTTAAATTTGGCTTACATGGGACAAGCTACCTGGCTGGAATTCCTGATGGATTATGAAATAGCGCAACCACAAATGTAGAGCTGATCCTTTTCATTTAAGTACTTTACTCTGTTTAAAGAATTATTAGCTCATGAAGTAGTCCCATTTTTTTTACTCCTATATGAGTAGAAAGTGCAGGGTCTGAGATCTGTTCTGCAATAGCTGCACATATGCTAACTAAAAAAAAAATTGTCTTTTTTTCTGTTGTTTGGAAAAAAAAAAAAAAAGAATTATCTGCTCCAGTGATTTCAGTGGTACTTGAATGTATGTTATTGTTTTCTCTGCAAATTTTCTCATTAATTGCTCTCAAATGTTAGCATTATTTTGGCTATAGGAAAAACGAAATTTGTTTAAAAAAAAAAAAAAGCAAAAAATCTAGAAAATGCTTATATTGAGAAGATGTCTAGACATATTTAATTGCCTCATGGCTTCATTGCATTTCATATAATTGAATGAAATTGTTTGTGTTATATTTTTGGTAACCATTATTCAGAGATCAGAATATGTTTTGAAAGACAAAATCTCCACGTAATTATGGCAGAGAAGGTCACAGGTTTCAGCATCTTGTCTGTTTGCTGTATCTACATAGTCTAAAAAAATACAGTTAAAAAAGAGAAAAATGTTTCATTTTAACAATATGCTTTATTTTGTAAATTATTTTGGATCTCTTGGGAAAGCCTGTGGCGTAAAGAAATAAATGAAATGTTCAGATTAAAACTTCCTTTTTTCTGACACCCATAAAGACCAGAAGGGAAGCCAGCAGCCCATATTGATGTCAAATACCCTTGTATTTAAACACCACAAAATTAATTTTTGCTTTTTCAGATTAAAATGGCCAGTGGAAACATTGGTTGATGTACTGATAAAGGAAAAAATGGTTTTGGTGCTGTGGGATTCATTTGTTTTTGTTTTTTAATGAATGAGTATGGAAGTTACATTGATGTCTTGTTATAATTTATGGTGTTTTCTTATTCTGCAAACCTGTAACACTGAAAACAGATCTCCAGATTGCACAAACTACTACTTATCTTATATCGTGTGTCACCTAATAGTTATGGAGCAGGTATTGTACCAAAATATGAATTGAAAAGCTGTAATTTTTTCTGTGGTTATCAGTCTGCATTAGTGTGTGATAAAGTGTGCTGCTTAAGAACTACCATTCACATGCCTTTGCGCTGACAAATAAAAATGTATGTGGAGACACCACCAAATCTGTAAAGCTACTGTTCTAGTTTCTGATGCATTGACATTGCAGCTGTGTGCTTAGCCTTGTTTTTTTTCATGAGTAGTTATCTGTTTTAATGACAGGTGGTCACTAGCTGCCAAGAAAAAATCCAGCACTGGTAAGTGAAAAATGTTTGATTACATGCCTAAAATACTGATGAGTAACCTAGTTATATATTAGTAAAGTACTGCTGTTTATTCTAGTGATAGCCAAATCCTACTAGCATGTTTTGGGGATTATAGTTCACGATCACTCAGAATTACTGCAGTGTACTCTCTTTAAAATGTATATATTTTCCACTGATATCATTACTTTAAATCACAGATACACTGAACCTTAGTGTTCATAGTTCTGTTTTAAATACCCAGCTCATTCGTCATTTTTGCCCCGAGTAACCTTGTGGGATGAATGCTGAATTTCCCTGATTGGTGAAAAGGTACTCTCAGGGTAGAATTAATTATTCTTGTTACATTCTATTTACCTATGGAGCAAGTAGGAAATTCTGCGCTCCACCACCCAGATGTGCTAAAACAACGCGAAAGTAATGTTTTCCCGTTTTTTTCCCCCAGTCAAGTATGTGAGAAAGCTTGGGTTGTAATGCTTGGAAAGAAATGGTTTGTTATGTAAAAAAATTATCTCTGGGCACTTTTTTCTCTGTTGGCAATCTATGGTTAATAGAAAGCATGCTTAGTAAATAATAGTTTTGTATGGCATCTGAAGAAAATGTACATTTAATGGTGAATGAAATCTTATATTATGAGTTACTGTGAGATATAACAGTTGATCTTACCGATATCAAATTACAATATATCCATGCTGTGTTTACCATGATTTTACTGAGAGAACAACAGGAGCTGTCTTGATTATTGTCTGCAGGGTTATTGCAGAATCACAGCAACTGCCCCTTTAGTGGTGAGATTAAACCTTTGGTTATACACCATCAAGCATATAATATTTTAAATTTATTTTAAGAGGCTTTTTCTTCATGCCTGAAAGATCTCCAAGCAAATAATTTATATTTAGTGTGTATCAAATGTTTTTAGTTTAAATGCACATAGGCTGCAAGCACTGGATAAGAGGGAAAAAATCAAGGCAATCTATACACATCATCATATTAAATTCTGACTATTGGCTCGCAAAAATAATCTAAAACTAATATGTTTCATTTATGTTTAAAATTCAGAGACTGCATTAATTTTCAATAAGGGAAATATTATTGAAGTGCTACTGGTGCTGCTGTGGTGAAGTCAGGCAGAATATCCCCGGCACACGTACTTTCTCGGGAGCTTTGCCCTGTCCTTACCAGTTTGGTGCCGTGTGACATTATGCATGTACGTTCTTTCACTAAGAGGCAATATTTTTTCAGAAATAAACTAATTGACAGAAAGGCTTGAAATTCGAACGGATTTTTAAAAGTCTGGAAAGTTGTGGCACTTACTTCCTCTTACAAAAATGCCCGGAGTTTGGGGGGTGGGGTGGGAGGGTTGGCTGTGGAAGGAGGACCTGCTCCTCTGTCTGCTTTTAAGCAAACTCTGGCCGTGGCCCCATGAACTTCGGGGTTTTGGGCACAGGATATCAAAAGGAAAACCTAACTTACTGATTTCTTTTATGTAGAAAAGCAGTTTATACAGCATCCATACGATCTTTATTAAAAATTATTTAAAATTTAGTACTCTTATTTAGATCTTGATTGTGCAAGAGCTGAGTGCTCTTGTTTCAACTGAGTAATTTGTTCATATAAGACCTTTTAAGCAGTCAGTGACACAGAAGAATGTTAAATAGAATTGGGTGAATAACAATAGGATTTTAAAATGCTCAGCTTCAATATATTTCCATTACATTATTTTCTTTTTCATTTTTAGTACACTTTTTGAAGTGTATTTCTAAAGCCGTGAGTCCAGTAATGGCTGTGGTATGGGATTAAACATCTAGGTGTGCGTTTCCCCTTCGAGGGATGCGTTCGTAGCTGGAGAACCAGTAGTCATCCTCCCCGTTGGCGTTCGTTCTTCATTGCCTTTGGGGACTGAGCGTAGGGCCGGCACACCCCACAGCTCCTGTCACCGTCAGCCATAGGGCAAGAGGGAGGTCAGCTTCCTTCCTTAAATAGTGCTGTTTCAGGGCAATTCATTAAAGGATTGATTTTAATTTTCTTTATCTTGATGGTCCAGTTCAGGATGTGGCCGTACTTTTAGAGATTCCTATGGTGGAGGTTTGATCAGGCAAAGGGCAGCAATCCCACTCGAAAAAGAGACACGCTTTGCTCTGTAAAGCAAAATAGCTTTTGTAGCAAGTGATTTCTGCTCTACCCTAATCAGATTATTCAGTAGCGGGCTGCAGTCAGACCTTAAAGGCAGTATCTTCTTCTGAGATTAATGAAGAAATGTTGAGTGACTTTCAGCCATGAAATGATGGGAATGTTTAATCCTGCTGCGAGTGGGGGGATTTTCATGCCGTTCTCTTCCCATGGTGTCTTCTCGTTACATTAGAGACATGGGCAAGGCCTTCAGCTTGGGGATTGGGGTTGTTTTTCAGCGAGGAGTTGGAGTGATTGGTGTCCATTTCTCAAATACAGATTCCGGATTCTGTAAATACCATTAAGTAGCTGGTTGTTATTATTGACACCAAGTTGTTATTAGATTGCTTCCCCGCCCAAAACACAGCAGCGAGTTCTGTTAAGATTCATGAGTTTGGCCTTCCTCTTTGAAGGAAGTGAATTATATTTTCACATTGATGTGGGCAGTGGACAGAGAAACTTGCTAAAATGTCTGGGAGAAGCCTGCTGTCAAACCAAGGCAGCACCAAGCATCTTTTGTAAATCAGTTACATGGAATACGGTTTTACTGTCCAAGTGGTGTAAGAACCTAAATTCTTTTTTCAGGACCAGTTCAGCAACTTAAAATATGGAGTGCTGCAGGTATAAAGTAGGGTGATTACAGCAAAGTTCAACTATGGAAGCAAATGAGTCAAAACATAGGAGTATCAGATAATTTTTCATAACGAATGCGGAAGAAGATTTCACTCTGCTTATGAATCTAAGAAAATCAATGATAATATTTTGAGAGTTGTGTTATCAACTATGACATTCATTTTTCAGCACATTTATAGATTGCTTTCCTGAATCATCCTCAGAAAACCTGTAATTTGCATCTTGGGTCAGCGTTGTTAAGTGTGCTGCTCCATGCTCTCAGTTGCCTTTTATTGCAGAGTTTACTACCATATATGTGTTCACTGTTTTGAAGTACAAGTAAACAATATCATCAAACCTGACATTTATATGCCAGCTACTTCATGCAGGAGCTAATTTCTGACCATCTTCAGAATGGCAGTCGTCCATTAAAAGAATTCCTGGCCGAATTTAAGTATTTCAAAGTGTCTTCACAAAAAAGAAGGCTTTTGTAGAGGGAGCATAGTTGCCTGTTTTGCACACAAAGGAAGATCCCCATAGCAATTGAAACGCTGTATCTTGCAAAGTCCTTGGAAGAGCCCGGTGTCTGTCCAGGGAACAATTTATCTGAGTTCACCAAGCCATTTCTGCCTTGGGTAGCAACATGTGGCGTGAGCCTGATTTACATTTTGGATAGAGGAGCAGCAGAAGGGATGTTCCTCACCTGTATTGTCCTTTGTCAGGGATTTGAAGATGCAACATAATCCTGGTGGTCGAGCCATCTCTCAGGAGTCCGCTAAGTTCACGTGAAAATCGGAATTAATTAAAATTTGGCCCATTTATGTCAGCTGAAACCAAGGTCATGAATTCTTTATTACGAGTGATACTTTGAAGAATTTGCCTCTTATAAAGTATAAACTGGATTTTCAGTTATTGTTCTAAATATTGATGGTGGTATAACTGTTGAATGTGAACATGGAGTGAGGTATGCCAAATCCTAGTGAAAGAACTGATTCTTTGCACCATAAAAAATTCAAATTCAGAAAGAGACGTGCACAATCTAAAATAATCATGTCTCTATTTTAATACATGTTATTCTAAAATAATCTAGCTATTACGTTTGTCATCCCAAGTCTTTTACAAAGAAGTTACTCATCTATCAACTATATGTGTGTAAGAGTAAAATAGTTTATTTTTCTGTACTTTTTGTGTGTTGTTGAATTACTAGCAGAAAAACATTAACTCTTTACTTTAAATATGAAATTGAATCAACTTGGATGTGTCAACAGGAAGAAGGTGGAGAGCGATTATGAGGCTCTTCAGGAGCGACTCCGTACGTTGCCCGATAAGCTGTCCTACGATATCATGGTATGTACGCTGTAGATAGAGTTCACACAAGAAAATGGGCTAAAATTTTTAGTAACTGAGGTGTGGGCACCTGCGGTGAGGTGTTATCCAGGTTGCCATGTAGTACTTCATGACGTTACATTTGTTATGATAATAGTTAAACCTTTGCTTTTGTTTCTTTCTCTTTTCTTTGAAATCCATTATAAATTACAACGTTACTGACAACTGAGAACTGATGACATAAATGCTAACACAAAACCTGACATGTTTGATATGTAAATCTATTGTATAGAAAACTATAATTATGACTGAATTACGGTACTTAGTCATTTCCTGAGAAGAAAGTGGCCGTAGTATTTCCTGATTCATGGAAATAAACCCTAGAACATTGATTTTTACATAAAAACGTGCCGCTGATTTTTGTTTCACCGATCTTCCCATTGACATAGCGATCTTTTCTGGTGCTTTGAATCTTCTCTAACAACGGCACAGCTCCCTGCGTAAACTTTACCCTGTTGGTGTGCGCTCACCAGAATTTTGACCAGATTGTCTTTTCCCTCTGTCTTTTTTTCCTGCCCCCCTTCTCAGGTCCAATTCAAGATATATCTTTGAGGGGCGGGAAGTGGTACCGTGAGTAACTGAAGGGCTAGTTTCAGCACAAAGCCCCTGACTGCTTTTTTCCTTGGCAGCCTGGCTCAGCGTGTAGAATGGAGTAGTTGGTAAGGTGGCGTTGGAGTAGGCTCACCGTGAGGGAGAAGAGAGCATTTCCCTTTCCTGCGCCAGTGATTCTGCTCGGGATTTTCTGCGTGTAGTCCCTTTACCACGTGTACGCGTGTGGCCACTTGATGGAAAGCAAAAAGATCGCGTTGTTTCGAAGCATAGGAAAAGCCCTATTTTTAAAAAAGCTAGATAGGGCTTATTCTTCGTTAAAGCAGCAATGTCAACTCACATCTGTTATTTTAAATGTATATAAATAGTTCCTACCCTGTTAGCCAAATATTTTCATATGTTTTCGATTTTGCTTTCATCGTTTTGGGGGAAGAGTGAACAGGCAAATGGTGCAGTCTGCTACTTGAAAACCAAGTCAGGAAGGGTACGTGGGTAGGAAAAGCACATTCTGCATAGTCTTAATGTCAGGATCCTGCCTGCGGCAGAACTGTTTCAATCCTTGGTGCCCTCCTGGGTACCTAAGCTAGGGAGGATCGCTTTCCAAGGAAGCGGGTCCACTCCGAGCAACAGAAGCAGATCCAAGGAAACAGAATCCTCTCTCTTTCAAGAGAAAACTGGAGCTGGCTGCAGTTCTTAGCTTTTTGCCATCTCCATTTTGACTTCCATTTGATTCTGGTCTCCTAATTTCTTTGCGATTGAAGCCCGAAGCAGGCGGCGGTAGGTGCGAGGGTAAGAGCGCGGGCGGCTGGCGCAGCAGGCAGGGGTGAGGGTGGCCAAGGCTCCTCCTCAGCAGTACGGCCTGCCCAAGCGCCGTCTGTAACGTGTGGGCTGTGGAAGATGCGTTAAATCATAAAAATAATGTCCCGTCCATCGTAATCTGTGCTAGAATCAGGGTTACACGTTTTAAGGAGCACCTCTTAAAGTTATACAGTGTGTTTATCACACACGTACTCCTGTCCTGAGCATTCTGGTTCCATGTGCTGTTCCTGTGCCTGGAGCGGCAGTGGAGGACGGGCGTTCCTCGGTGAGGTCTGCACACTGGTGAACCGTAGAGCAAAGTGAGACTGAGCACGGTCTGCGGTCCCGCTCCTAACCCCACAAACTTCCACCGAGGTTTCTAGGTACTTGCTATTAGCAATGCAGATACAGAAGAGCAACTCATCTGTTGAGTTGACCGTACCTATTTAAGTATTTCAAAAATTTTGGCAAAGCTAAACTTGCTTTTATTGGGACATGAATGTTGTTTGTGTATAACAAATACGTAACTCACCTAAATGATAATATTTTTATTGTCAAGGCTTACATGTGAACTGAGGTTTTTTTCCCATTTGAGCATTCAGCTATACTATAGTTTTATGTCACAAAACAAGTTCTCAAGTTAAATACTGCTTTTCTGATTTCTGTTAGTGCAATACTAAATTAGAATAGATCTGGTCATTTGAATATTTATGAAGGGTTAGTTGTTAAATTACTGCTATAGAATTTTTATTTCTTTAACTCTGTGTTTTACTTTTTCAGAAAAAGTAAGACATGAATGACTGTCTAGGTTTTATTTTCAGTAGTGATTTTCAGCTGTTTCTTCTGTGCCTATGACAGGTACCTTTTGGTCCTCTTGCCTTCATGCCGGGAAAACTTGTCCACACCAATGAGGTTACTGTTCTGCTTGGGGACAACTGGTTTTCAAAATGCTCAGCAAAGCAGGCTGTTGCGCTGGTTGAGCACAGAAAAAAACGTATGTATGTTTCTGAACATGATTTAATAGTCAAAATTGTGTATCTTTGTATTGATGTATGAAATCAGTAGCATCTACACTGTTCTTTTTTTTGTGAGCTCGCAAACAGAAGTCTCATTCAGATGTAATACCACTTTAGCACTTTATTTTTCATCTTTCCTTGGTATTTTATTGGGTATGTCTAATTTTTTTTAAACATCTAGCCAGAGGTTTTTTTTAATGATACATCAGTGTAAGTTACCAAAATTCGTGTTTTGATGTAAGATGTTAGAAAACAAGACCAGTCAAGATTTATTCATTTGTTTATTATACACAAAAGTAAAAAAATAAAAACCGAAACAATCTAAATCCCCCGTTTTACTTTTCTTTAATGTGAGAAATGGTCTATTCTCTTCCAGAAAGTGGACATCCAATTGTACTTTTGCTCTTAGTTTCCTTATTCCCTATATCCTGTTCCCTTGTCTTGTCTCTCATTTCTTTGCTGCCTTGCCCTCTGTTTTGTTTTTTGTTTTTTGTTTTTTTTTTCCTCTGACCATATAATTTTCCAGCTTTCTTCTCCCCCTACAGATGCTTTACTCTTGCTTGTTGTTTTTTTTCCTTGCTTGCTGCCCAGCTGCATTTCTGCTCCTCCCTCCATGTTCCTATCTGTCAGTGTGGAGAGATCTGCTGGATCTCCCCACATCAAGTGTCGTTGGTGACCACCAAATGGGTCTTCCGTAGCAGGAGGTCACAGGGGCAGATAGGCAAGCTCCGTTTGTTTCCAGCTCTTTTTACTTGGTGGTGGGGTCTTGACTTTGAAGAGCCAGGACCACCAGCAAGTGGTGTGCACAGCACACTTTGGAACCTCTTTATGTTAGAAAGAATGAGAGCCTAAAATATTTGATGTAAATGTCAAGGAAGGAGAAGCACAATAAAATGGAAAATAAATTGGTACCTATTAGCCTTTGCTGTTTGCTTCAGATAAGCGTTTGAGTAAATTTTTTTCTTATTGGTTTTACCTATAATCTGTCTCATTCCTGAATGAGTGCTCACTGCAGCTTTACCCTGTGTATGTTACAACTGGCACAACTATTTACATTGGATTTTTGTTTATATGTTCAGCTATCCATGTTGCTGCCTGCAACAGAATACCTCAGAGGTTCCCCATCTGAATACATTTTTTTCAATTCTATGCAAGCAATGTTTGTGTAAGAAAAGTTTTTTTTAATAAAAATGCATTTGCTGTATTACTTTAAAGTATTCCTTTATGAAGAACATTACCAAAAGTATGTAATTTGTATTTTACCTATTATCTTTCTTAATCTGGTTCTCCTGACACAACTTTGCAATTTTCTTTCTTACTGAACTGAATCTACATTATTTATTGTGACTCTTGCAAGATCTCAGGCCCATATCCTTTTCCTTGATCGTCTGATATTTTTTTCAGTGCAGCAGAATATTTTTGTCACCATTACATTCAGTGAAATCATTTGACCTTTGCATAGTAGATGTTTGAACATTAAGTAGTCTGCTGGGAGACACACAATAAATGCTAGATTCTTTCCTTTATGATCTTTTAAATTGCATTTAAAATACGAACTCAGAAATATTCCTTTCTTTTAAAGCAAAATAGTCATTGATGCCTGGATATGAACCCTCCATTCAGCTGGTCGTTCACTTCAGCTGTGTGATGGCTGCCAGTGGGAGGCTCCAAAACACTGATATTAACTAAAAACTTTTTATTTAAAGGACTATTACCAGTTTTGGATTATAAAACCCATATTAGTACACACGATTCTGAAAAAAAAATATTTCTTTCATAGATACACATTTCTCCTTTAAAAAATACAACTGACTTAAACGCTTTCAACCATTTTCCCACTAAATGAGGGCAATTTGGGGATTTGATTTCTTTATTCTATTTAGAAAAAAAGTTAGGTACCTGAAAGTCCGGTAGGCCATTGCTATATAACACCAATTGGCCACTTGTGGCACAAACATGAAAGGCTGATGTTTCACAAGTGTTAGTTTTAAGTCTCTTGTGTATTGCGCTGTAGTTATTTTCATAGGTATGATGACTTCTGATTCCACTGGCGTGTTGGGGCTTCAGAGTTTACAGGGTGATGTATATTGGGTGTTATCATTACATTGACACAGCGTGATTTGATTTTTAGTACCTAATCTTTTTGTTTTGGACGTAAATTTCGTGAGTAGGTCAGAGACGCTGGAAAAGAGGTCATGCTTACTGCAGGGGATTACGGTGCAAGCAGTCCCCAACGTCCTGTGTGCCACTCAGAAGGCCCTAACACAGCAAAGCTTTTTTTAAGCATGTGCTTAAGGCCAGTGTGTGCTTAAAGGCTTTGATGTATAGGAATTGGGGTCTGGACAGAGCAAAGAAAGGCTCATGCTGAAATTGCTTCCCGAACAGAAAGCTGGCAATATTTGTTGATGGCTTGTTTCTTCAGTGACCTACATTTTTTTTTTATCCAGTATGAGTCTACTTAATTTAGATGGGTATTTTTTCATAACTAGCTGGTCAAATCTGTTCAGATAACTGAAATGAACTTAATTAGTATAGCACTAATGATTTAGTGCTTTAACAGAAAGTAAGCGTTACAAGGAAATAAATACAAGACACACATTTTCCTTGCTTGCCATCTCTTGTATCCCACTCTCCTGAGTGGTGAGGAATGGGAGGGCATCTGTTCAGGGTTTAAGTTTTCTAGCGGGACTGGCTCTTAGGTAGAAAAGGGTAAGAGATTCCTATAGCTCGCTCATTTTTGAGTTTCGTGTCATGCTGGTTCTGGGGAGCTTGCTTTCTTGCCTGTGACTCGTTTCGCGTGGGTCTGCCCATTGAAGACCTCTCTCTGGTCACCAGGGCTGGCCCTGGTTGCCTTTGAGCACGCCGCCGCACTGACAGTTAGTTTGATCAAGGTTCACAGAAAATTTTCTTTACAGTTTGATTCCTTCTGTGTACGTTGGATGCAGACAAGAATGAACAATAGGAATTTGCGTGCTTAAGCAGTAATAGCGCCGGATAAATCAAACAATATCAGCGAGGATAAAGCCTTGGAAGTTAGGGATAGCAATAAGAGTGTACTATATATAAAAGCTTTAAATATTACTTAGTACTAATTAGGTCATCATTTTCGTCTTAGTAGTTTTGTTAAATTTGCTTTTTAAAGGAGAAGGAGTGGAAAAACATTTGCTTCTGTGGAACAGAGAAATGCCTGGCCACAGCAGATTAATTTCTTGGTTAAAATTTATTTAATCGAAAGGAATAATTGAAGGGTGACTGTGCTGAATTTTCAAAGTAAACGCCCTCTAACTGACATAGCTGTAGAAAGCCCTATTTTGGGGATACATTTTTGTTTGCGTAGCTTTTGATTTAGATGCAAACTGTTCAGCTTTGTGATTGGTTGAAACGTATTTAGTAAAATTTGGGACAGTCACTCATGTCAAATGTTATTTTTTCATAAAATATTGATCGTGTCTTCTTGAATAATATTTGAGGTGCAGTAGATCTTTCATTTGCTGCACATTTTTGTGACATCCTAGATGTTTAGTTAGTTCCAAAACTGTTAAAAAAAAGTAAATCTAGTGAAGTTTATGGAATTGCCAAGTATATTTTTAATTGTTTTAAATTTGTTGCAGTTTGTTAAACCAGGTAGTACAGATAATGGGAAACACTTTACACATATGTTTGTGTGTAAAACTGTGAAGAAAAATAGTGAAGTAGATTAAAGGATATGCACACCAAATTCCATTATAATAAAAGAAATTAGCTTTTTAAGTATGTCACAGTTTAGCACAACAATAATGCAATTGTAGTTTTTTCTCTTACAATTATCTTGCTTAAGGTACTTCATAATATTTCTGTTCTCCTCAAGGCAAGACTGTATTGTCTCAGAATTCAAAGAGGGAATAAAGATTCTTTTTGTGGATATGGGATTATATCTTTTACGTGTTTGTGATGATATAAATTACATTTTTTCTCTATATCAGTAATCGCATTAATTCTTTAAGATGGGGAATTTTTCATTACAATAGTCCCTGTGGTAGTTACTATAGAAAGAAATTAAATAGATTTTTCTTGTAAATATTTGTGGATTAGTTCAGTATGCTGGGTATTCCAAGTGTCTAAACACTTTAAAAGGTGGGAAATTAAAACACGCACACAGAACTAGGAGTGGTTTTATTGTGTTAAAAATTTATCAGATAAAAAAAAAAAAAAAACACTTAAAGGAGAATTTTTGAACTACTTAGCAATTGTGTCTTCGGTATATGTAAGAATACCCTTGCAGTGTCATGCTGCAAATGAATTCATGAAATGAAAATACTGATTACATTAACATACAGTATTGTGATAGTACCCAATTGTAAATTGCAGTATGTAACCTTTAGTACAAATATTTGTGTCAATCAAAATTGACCGATAGCTTAGTATACAGGGTTTAAAAGATACCATTGTTTTTAATAAAGAAGATGATCCAGGCGGATCAGGACCAGTTTGAATTTGTTCCTTATCAGCATTTCCAGAAAAAAGGATATTGTCTCCAAAATACACGATAGGAAGGCTTTCCATTTCCCATCTGTGAATGGGTGAGGCCTTTAGAGATTTTAGTGTTTCATCCAAGGGTGAAAATAACTTCCTTTATATTCTAAAGGATGTAACACAAACTTGCCTACTCACTTTTTGGGGGGAAAAGAACAAAAAATGCAGGCAAGGTTACAAAGAAATCTAGCTGTTGCTTTTCTTTAAAAAAAAAAAAAGCCGTTTTTCTGTATGCTGGAGAATTTTTTTCACTGTGCTTTTGAACATTTTTTTACCTTTTTTTGCGATTATCACTTTTTAGTTTGATAACCTCCATCAGTTCCTTCCTTACCCTTGTTAAGTTAGGAGCTGATTCGGTGGAGTGCTAAGTGCTCTAAATTTGCTCTGTGGTTCCCAGGAGGTGTTTGGTTTCTCACAGGACCCCAGTCCAGGTATTTTAACCAGAACACAGTGGAAGAAAGTAAGG